AGCACGTCTGGAATGTGGAGAGTATTTGAGTTTGGGCCCTCCTGGGAGCTTGTTGACGGCCTCTCGGGGCTGCTGGGTGTTTGATGGGAGCCTGTTGGGGCGTCTCGGGTGCGTCTTGGGCCTTTTCGGGCGATGTTGGCCCGTCTGGCGCCCAGCGCCTTCGGAGGCCGTCTTGGGGCCCTGTCTGGGCTGTCGAGGTGCCATCTTGGGGCCTCGAAGGGCCATCTTAGGCCTTTCGCGGGCCGTCTTGACACCCACTTGGGCCGTCTTGGGGGTGTTTGGGGGGCCCTTTGGGCCACTTTAGGGCCCTGTTGGGCCGTCATGTGGCCCTCTTGGGGGCTTCTTGGGCGGTCTCGTGGCCATCTTGGATGCATCTGGAGCTGTCTTGGGGTGTCAGAAGTCTGGGAAGGCGAGAACGGCAAGATCTGTCCAACACCTACGGAGATTAATGCGTTTTGCTTCTGGCGGCCCTCTTGAGTGTGCTCTTGGAGCCCTGCTTGGCCGTCTTGAGGGCCTATTGGGCTGTCTTGGGGTCCTCTTGGGCCTTGTTGGGACCATCTTGGGCCGTCTTGGAGCCATCTTCGGCCGTCTCGACACCCCTCACAGCCGTCTCGAGGCCCTCTTTGTTTCTCAAGAAGCCCAAGGAGCCCAAACCACTGATTTTGCTTAGGTCATTATTCGTGGCTAAGCCCGGGAAGGGGTCCACCACCTCTGGTCCGTGAATGTGGCGCGGCTCCAGTGGATGGTTAAGGGGTTAAGGGTGTACGTACTGATTTGGAACAAGACAGGGTAATGCGTTGAACAAGTCTTGACGCTTCGCGTAACCCCACCAGCTGCCTTCGCTTAATTCGTCGCTGCGCAGCCCGCTTTGACCCGACTCGCCGCCGGCGCGCTCGCCGGCGGCCGCTGACCAAAAAGTAACCCCACCAGCCCGGTGCTTGTGTGATGCCTCCCGCGCCATTTTGGCTGCGCCTCGCTCTGTTCCGCTCTGTGGCGGACGCTGTCCACTTGGCTGTTTTTCCTTCGCTACGGCGCGGCCCGCCCTAGCGTGCTCAGCGTTCGACTTAGCTTCGCGCGCCCGCGCACACAGAGGAAGGGTACCTCTCGGAGCGCTCTTGCTGGGGCGCTCTTGGAGCGTCTTGGGGGTCTCTCGGCGGTCCCGGGGGCCTCTTGGAGCGTCTTGGGTGCCTCGAGGAACCTCTTGGGGCCTCTTCGGGGTCTCTTGGGAGCGTTTTGGAAGTCTTGGGCGCCTCTTGGGGCCTCCTGGGCGCCTGTTGAGGGCCTTTCGGGGCGTTTTTGGTAGCCTTGGGAGCGCTCTTGGGGCCATCTTGGTGGAGATCGAGAGAAAAACAAGTTGGGAGTTTTACTTACGACCCCCCTCGGGGGCCACCAAAATCGCCTCTTGGGCCCCTCTTGCGGCGTTCTTGGAGCGTTCTTGGGCGCTCTTGGGGCTGTCTTGGGGTTCTCTTAGGCCTCTCTTGGGGACCTCGTGGGCCCTTTCGGAGCTGTCTTGAGGCCTCGGAGGGCCATCGGAAGCGAAAAGGCGAGAAGGCACAATTCATGATGTTCCGCAGGTTTTGAAGGATGTTGGCCTCTTAGCGGCCTTCCGGGAAGTCACGGAGGCATCTTGGAGCCGTGTTGGAGCGTTATTGGGGCCTCTCGGAGCATTTTTGGAGCCATCCTGAGGCACCTTAGGCTATCTTGAGCCATGTTGGAGGTCATCTTGGGCTCTTTGAGGCACTCTTGGAGATATCTTGGGCCATCTTGGACGCGCCAGCGACTCGCGAACCCCCCCTTCCAGGTCCAGGGATCGGGGGAGGGGTTAAGACACCCTCCTAGATAGTAAGCCGTCTAGCTTACTCCCACCCGCCCTCCCAACAGATAACAAGCACCCGAGCCTCAGCATGTTCGGCCTCCTCATCATCCCCCCTTTTCCTTATGATTACTTCTTCCATGTCGCATCCCTAGGCTTGTCGGTAGGGTGGGCTGGGCATTTAATTTGCGACTTCCTAATCATTAGTCAGATTGAAGTTTGGAGTTTGCAACAATTTCAAGGGCGGAGGGCGGGTGGATTTCAAAATGAGGCTCTCCCTAGCACTGCGTACATTCGGCTTTCACGTTTGCAGCTCAATGATGGAGGGCGGCCCGTTTCCAACATGTGGCTCTCGCCTTGGCGCCGCACACACTAATTCTAAACACTTGCACCAGTTTCAAGGGCTTCACCCAGTCATGGCGGTTTTGAGCGATCTGGGATCGTCAGGACGCAACAGTCACGTTGATTTGCGGCGCTGAAGTCCCAGGAGTTCTGGTACGGCTGAGGATTCTCAAACGGTTTACCTTCCAATAGGGCACGTCCTGCAATGCAGATGAAAGTATTGCAGGGGCCTGTGAAGAAGTAAGTTGGATGCAGGCTTCTCGCAACATCCTTGATGCGTCTCAGGTTTACACTGGTCCTCCTCCTCCCCCTCTCCCCCCCCCTCCCCCATTCCTTTACAATCAT